TTGTGAGAGTTTTGTGAACTTAGAAGGTTTTTTGTGCATTGTTAAAGGAAGAACCTCTTTGGGAAGCACTTGGGAAGCTCCAAGCTTGTAGATCTAGAATTTGTATCTTGTAATCCTCTTCCAGAAGGTATAAACATTCTACCTTGATGATGTTTTATGTTAGATCTAGTTACTCTTGAGATTTCCACGCTTTTATCCCCATAACCTTGGTTTATATGAGTATGAGCTACTCCAAACCATTTGAGTATCATTTCCAGATGTTTTTAGGGTCTTTAAGTCATTTAAAATGAGAGCTTGGTCACTCTCCTTCACCCATGCATGAGCTATTAAGCTATGAGTGGCTTCATGGATCTAGGTTTTGGTTTCGTGCTCTTTGAGGCCATGCATATAGATAAGGTCAGAGACGTTATCCATTAAGGCATCCATTTGATATAGATATGAAAGTTTGGGGGGGCTAATCTTCTATTTTAAGAACTTAACAGTTAAGTTGGACATCATGTGGCGATGTTGGGTGTAATTTGCTCTATGTTGAGCATAGCTCTGAATTTATCCTTTTTGCCACCTTGAGCTTTACGCTAAGTGTAGAGCTACATGCTATGTTAAACGTAGGTTAGTTGAAGGTTGATCGTTGGCTTTTGACCAAATTTGACTCTAAGTTAATTAGTGAATATTGGATTGTAGTTTAAGAGTCTGGTTCTTGATCATTATATAGGTGACCAGTAGTACCTGTTTGGATCGGTTAGAGTTGTGTTGTTTGTCTGCTAGCATGTAAGGTAAGTTTTCTCACTATACTTTGCATTGTAGTATGTGTCCTTGTGTGTGGGATGTTGGTACACGGTAATGATTTGTTATATTTGGTAGATCTGTATGATTACATGTACTTATAGGTTATTGATTATTATTTGCATATGTCGACATGGTAAGGTTGGGTTGAGGCGGTACTGCTTTGTGTTGTAGTCCAACAAACCCGAGAGCGGTCCAACTTTTTTTTACAAGCTTGGGAGCGGTCCAGCTTTATGTTGTATGCTCGGGAGGTGGTCCAGTCTTGTGTTGTAGGCCCGATGTGCATGCATTGTATATGTATTGTTGTGTGGGGTATTTGGAGGAACTCGCTAAGATTTGGATTACAGTTGTTGGTTTCAATGTTTTAAGGTATTTTTGATGATCAAGGCAAGACGAAGGCGTCATTGAACACATCCTCCTATTAGTTTGTGTTTTGATAGATTGTTGATACTCTGATTTTCTTTGGATTTTATTTGAAAACAATGTTTGATTAACTTATGGTTTTATAAAATGTTTTATTAAAAATGAAATTTTTGGCCGTGGTATTTGGGATGTTACAACTTAGCACAACTTCCTTCCAATGTGGCACAACTTCTACCAGATTGTCTCAAAACCTTCCATTTGATGCAACTTCTACCATAGTGGTGCAACTTCTTCAAGCATGGCACAATATCTTGCTCCATTCCACTCTAAGTTGCTCCAAATAAGTTCCAAGTGCTTCATTGAACTCAGTTGTTCAATGACAATACTCCAAATGATCAATCCACATTTAACAACTAAGATAAAATATTAAGATTATTCTACTCTTAATTTTAAATATCATAAGATAAACGATATTCCTTTATTATTGTGAGTTTATCTTTTTATAACCAACTTTTGAGTGATTTGCAAAAGCAACCACCGTGTTCGAAAGGCTTTATTTCATACATATGTATGACTAACTTTAAGTTATATCAAACATGTTTTTTCTAACAAAATAGTACATTTTGGACTCAGACAAAAAACATACTTTGAAATCTGAAGAACAAGTCTTAAAGTTTGAGAAAATTGTTGTTTTTTTTTCTACCGAAAATTAGCAGAAGGTTAAAGAAACGTAAATCAAATGAAGTATATTATGATAAAAAGACATAAAAATGTCATTTAGTTGAGCATTGATGAAACTAAATATTCAGATTTAAAGGGTAGAGATTTTTTTGTGCAAATTAGACATTCCGTCATTTTGTTATGTACTGAAAATCCTCTTAAATACTTTTCAATCCCAAAGCTAGTTGAAGTCCTTATTTGATTTTGAATTGTTTGTAGAGTTTTATTTTTGTTGTTGGCTTTTGACTATGTCCTGGTGTGGCATAAACATGGCACTGGATGATGAATACATATGTAATTTTTTTTTTTTTTGTTTTATGACAAATATATTCATCCAACAACCAACCAACATTGGAATTACTTTTTTCAATGTTAGATAACCCAAGAAAATATTCTATCAGTTACCCATGAGGAGATAGATTCATATCATTAACAATAGGAAATAGGTTGTGGTAATTATTATCCTTACATATAGTAGCATCACCATTATCTGCATACTTACAAATTTATGGAGAATCATATGGAATAAGATCTATTCGTCTTTCATATATAGTTTGTTTAGGAAACGTATAAGAGATAAAAAAAAAAATACCTTCTTAATTTTTGCTTCTGAAAAGTGATAGACTTCTACTAGTCCCCCTTCTACCACCATCTACCAAATGTTGATGTACATCACTTTTTTACTGTGAATAACATTTACCACGTGTTTGACATCACTCTTATTAAATATCTTTATGACATAACGCAAATCAAGATGTTTAAAAGACAAACTAATACTAGAACTATCTTCCAAACCTATATTTATTAAACCAAAATGTAACAACTTAGCAATGTTTACATATACAAACAATTATGCATCACAGGTCTTTAATATGTGTCTTAATATTGAGTTTAACCCTTTATTATCCCACACAACCTTCTTACAAACAACGTCGTTCAATAAACTCATTGTTGTGAGAAGAAAAAAAATGTTGACAACTGATTAAATGTATCCCTAAAAAGATCAGTTTATAGAATTTCACATAAAAGTTTCGATAGGGATCATTCTTAGTACATAACTTAGATTTCGCAGTATATATGTCAAATTTTGCAGTAAAAAGGTCAAATTTCACAATAGGTCGGTGGTTAGGTTTTAAAGTACGAAGACAAATTTCACAGTGAAATGAAGAGATTTCAAAGGTGAGGTGTGAAATGCTAATAGAATGGTATTTTGAGCATTTCACAATGAGATCCCATTGTGCAATGCCCCTACGAAATGTATGGGTTTTCGAAGAATCATGTATGTTTTACACAATTTTTGTAAAACACTTAAGTATTTTTATATTTTTTTCCTAAAATATTTATAAAAACTATATATGATATTAGAGAAAAATATTAGATTTAGCCAAAAAAAAACTTTAATGACTTTTTAGAAAAATAGACAAAAAAAAAAGGAATTTTCACAAAATAGCCAACCAAATCACAGACGGCTAGGCCTCATCTACGTTTTGGTCATTCCATTTGCTATTTGGTCCCTTTCATCCACGATTTGGTCCTTTCACTATGCTATCTGGTTTCTTCCATCTGCCGTTTGCTCCCTTATATAAAAACATTTTTTAGAAATTTTTAACCAAATTGTAGATAGGTTTGCCCCACCTGTGATTTGTTCGGCATTTATCTACGACTTGGATGTGAATTTTTTTTTCCAAAAAAATACTTAGCTTTGACGATGAATTTGTTAAAGTTGACTACGAAATCTGGCAGTGTTAACTATGAATTCGTACCAATTACTAAATTATATATAAAATTAGCTCAAATTAGTAAATTATATATAAAAATTAGCTAGAAAAATCTTAGATTATCAGTTATTTCTTTTGAATTCTCATTTTTTTATGTTTGTACTAAAGTGAGTTTTAATGAATATTTGGTTTGCATTGTAACTAGTAGGAGATAAAAGATACTTATTAAAAATCTATAGTATGTTTGCCCATAGGAAGGATTTTTGAATTCGCGTTGATATTTTCAAAGTATATTAGTTTTAATGATTTTTTATATTTACTGAAAATGAAAACTAGTTTATTAGATAAATATAAAATTAGTTTTTGCTTTCATTATGAACTGTATCATTACATAATCATAGTTGATGACATTGATGTTAGATTATTGATCAACATAATCAACAATTATTTTTCTATTTTTGGATACAACTAAAATTAAATCCGGTAATCAAACAAAACCATTCAGCTCCCTAATACATTTTGTTATCTCCAACTTTAAAATGTAATCCGCTTTAGCAATTTAAAGATATTATATGATAAAGAAACATCTTATAGATTAGCAACCCGTCCCTTTGCAGTGATTGAACATCCAATAAATGACCAAAAATTGTCATCTGAAATATTTCACGCCAGACATCATTCAATCTATCGATCACTTCCTATAGTTTATTGTCTAATGCTTTGATATTAATAACCACTTTAAAATTTTGATCGGCGTGCTAAAATAAAACAAGTCGTTAAACGGGTATATAAATTATTTGACAAAAAATTCACTTGAAAACTCGTAAAATAAATACAAATTATGCCGAAAATATAAAAACAAAACGCTATAAGTTGTAAATTGTAATGAAGGCCGAAAAAAACTAACAATAAATATTTAACAAAAAAAATCGAAGGTATAAGCTTCTGATCCACAAATCGTAGGAAATTATGCATCAACAACTTGTACATTATGAGATGAAGGTATATCTACAAACATACAACCAAACGATGCACGACTTCTGCATAAACAACTTGTACATTCTCATCTGAACATATATTTGTGAATGTACAAGCCATGATGCATGATTTACGCATCAGATACTTTTACGGCCGGGGATTTGTGATTCGTTTGCCATCCCAACTATGAAATGCTCTCAAAATTGTGTAACTAGCTATGAAATACTCTCAATGCCAGTAGGTCTAAGATTTTCTCTAACAAAAAGTAATATATTTTCGTTTTCTGCAAATAAATCATAAATAAACATATTATAAATTATGTAAAAGCTAATAAATGATGATTAAAACAATAAATAAGCATGGATCTTTATCATGTTTTCAGGAGAGTACATATTTTCATCCATAAGATTAAGAGAATTTCTACGTGAAAACCAAAAAATGAAGGTTTGAAAAAATTTAAATTTTATACACTCGTATACCAAAACAGCAGATGAGTCAAATCACAAATGAAAATGCCAAATCGCAAATGAGCCTATCCAAATCACAAGTAGGGTGAGGTTTAATAACTAAAATTTTGTTAGCTATTTTACGAAAATTGCTAATTTTTGACTATTTAAAAAAAATTAATATATTTGGCTGATTTTATTGAAAGCCAAATATAAGTGTGGATAGTGTCATATGTTGTTACTTGCGACACATCCTAGATTTTGATAGCTCAAGCTCACGCACCATTGGGATTTGGAAATGCCTAAGTTGACCCAAGGCTTCATCTCTGCGTATAAATCGATGGAACGCTCGTTGACCATGTTTTCGAAATAGTTATGGCGTCTTCGTCTTCGTCTTAGTCCTCCTGCAAATTGAGCCTCAGGAAGTACGATGTTTTCTTGAGCTTCAGGGGTAAAGACACCCGCAATACTTTTGTTGATCATATCTACTACGCCCTGCACCAAAAAGGGATTGTAACTTTTCAGGATGGCGAGAAACTCGAGAGAGGAAAATCAATCCGTCCAGAACTCTTAAAAGCCATTAGAGAATCATCCATTGCCATCATCGTGTTCTCGAAAAACTACGCTTCTTCATATTGGTGCTTGGATGAGCTTGTGGAGATTATAAAACAACACAAGGAAACAAATCAAATCATTTATCTAGTGTTCTATGGCGTTGATCCATCAGAGGTGCGTAAGCAGGAAGGGTTGTTTGGGGAAGGGTTCGCGATACACAAAGGGGGAAAGGTGGAAGTGTGGAGAGACGCTCTAGTGGAAGCAGCCAATTTATCTGGATGGGACACGAAGGCGATAGACAATGGGTAAACTTCTTTTCATGCCCTAAAAACCATTGATAATCATCGCAAATTCAAAATTAACCATGCTTTAGTTTCATGAATCGTTAAACACATCCCCATTCTCCAATCATGTTGATTGTAGTTTCCAATTTGCAGCCATGAAGCAGAATGTGTAAAAGCAATTATAAAACACATACAAGGCTCCTTGTATCACAAATACTCCACTCTTGAAGAGAAACTAATAGGAATCATACCTCGAGTGGAGAAGGTGAACTCATTACTAAGAATGGAATTGGGGGAAGTCCACATGATAGGCATATGGGGAATGGGTGGTTCAGGTAAGACTACAATCGCCAGATATGTATTTAGGGAACTCTCACATCACTTTGACAACACAAGATTTGTATAAAATGTTAGAGAAATTGCAGAAAAATCTGGTTTGCATTCTGTACAACAAGATTTTCTCTTATCAATGGACAGAAACCTGGATATGCATCAAGCAACCCAAACTATAAGAAAAACGTTTTCCCGCCAAAAAATTCTAATTGCTCTTGATGATATAGATGAATTAAGCCAACTAGATGCATTAGCAGGAGATTGCACCTGGTTTGGTGAAGGGAGTCGGATTATTATAACAACAAGAAATGAGAGATTGTTATTGGCACATGGAATCAATGAGGATATATATAATGTTGACTTGTTGAATACTGATGAAGCTCTTCAACTCTTTAGTCTTTATGCATTCAGAATGAATACTCCCACAAAAGACTATGACAACATGCACATCTTGTTGTACAATATGCTGCGGGCCATCCTTTGACCCTTAAAGTTTTGGGTAATTCTTTACGTGGTAAAGACATGAAGAAATGGATAACAACAATGGATAGACTTAAAGAAATCCCAAAAGCAGAAAGTTTAGAAACATTGAAAGTAAGTTTTGATGCGCTTGAAGATATCCAAAAGGAAATCTTTTTGGATATTGATTGTTTCTTTAAAGGGTGGCATAGTGTGGAAGTATACAAAATACTTGATTGTTGTGGATTCAATAAAGAAAAATGGGTAAGTGATTTAGTACAAAGAGCTCTTGTAAGTATTTCAAGTGAAAGGTTGGATATGCATGATATGATACAAGAAATGGGACAACATATTGTTCATGGAAAGAGTTATAAAGACCCCTAAAAGCATAGCCGATTGTGGAAACCTCAACAAGTTTTGGATGTACTTGTATCAAATAAGGTATATAATCATTTATGTCATAATAATAACAATAATCATATATTAAACTGAATGCTGAAAATACAATTACTTAACAGGGAACCGAAGAAATTCAATCCATAGTAGTGGAGGGTTTTCATAGTGTAGAATCTTTAAATTTTACTCTTGCATTCAAGAACATGACGAATCTTAGACTGCTTCATTTGGATACCAAAGGAATGCATTTCATAGGACCTGAATATCTTCCAAATTCATTGCAATATCTTAATTGGAAAAAATACACAGCAAATCCACTTCCATCAAGTTTTGGATCAGGGAATCTTGTTGGAATTCACATGTATTCCAGCAGTCTGGTAGAACTATGGAAAGGAGTGAAGGTACAATGACTAAAATACCCTTATCTATGTCTATAATGGTAATTGGTATATCATTGCACTTTTTTGTTTTTAACAGCATCTACACAACCTGAAGTTCATTGATTGCCAAGAATCAAAGAAACTTACCAAAACACCAAACTTCACAGGGATCCCAAATCTTGAAAGATTAGAGCTTTCAGGTTGTAGCAGTTTGGTAAAGGTTCATGAGTCAACCGGGTGTCTAGAAAAGCTAAAAAGTCTGGATCTTAGTAATTGCTATGAACTTAAATCTTGCCCTTCTTATATCATGATGAAATCCCTTGAAACTATCAGTCTCAGACACTGTAATTACTTAAGAAAATTCCCAAAAATCCAAGGAAAGATGGATAGATTATCACATATCTATTTACACCATACAACAATAGAACAACTTCCAGACTCAATTCTGAACATAACAAATCTATCTGTTCTTAGTCTTCTTGGATGTATCAACCTAACAAGTCTTCCAAATACTATTTCCATGTTACAAAGCCTGACATATCTTGATGTCAGACGTTGCATAAAACTTGCAACATTACCCAAAGATCTTGGAAACATAGCTTCTTTAGAGCATCTTCTTGTTTCCACTGTTACTCAACTACCATCTTCCATCATCAACCTTAAAAACCTCAAAACCTTCTCTGTTGTAGAACCACCATCTTCCATTCCTCATAAAAAAAGGATTCCTTGATTGGTTCTTTGAACATAAAAACTCAAAAAAGAATAGTAATCTGTCTAGAGACTCATTGTATCAGGTTTTACCTTCTTTATCGAGTTTGACTTCCTTGAAAGAATTAGGGCTCTGTAATTTACATGAAGGAATGACTCTACCAGTTGATATTGGCACTCTGTCATCACTAGAGTACTTAATATTATGTGACAACCAATTTACTAAATTACCCTTTAGAATCTCCCAACTCTCTGTCCTCAAAAGGCTAGATGTATCAAACTGCCCGAGGCTTGAAGAACTGCCCGAGCTTCCACCTACTCTTGCCCTACTTTTTGCCAACAATTGTAAATCTTTAAGGACTATAACCAGTCTCTCATCAACCTTGCGATAGGTGTCATTTCTTGGTTGCAGGAGATTGGAAGATTAACATACAGTGCTACGTAAAGTACTTCAGGTTGCTATTTTTATTATCAGAATCTGTGTTTATAATTTTTTCAAACATTAATAAAGTTTAATTTCTTTATCAACAGGGATACAATGTTATGAAGCACCAGACTAGTGTTCTCCTTCCTGGAATTGAAATCCCAAATTGGTTTCAAAGTGAGAGGACTGGAATTGGGAAGACAGTAATTGAGTTACCTGGGAATTGGAACAATGTAATCACAGGGATTTCAGTATGTGCTGTTGCAGACTTGATGGGGCTAACTAGGCATATCAGTTTGACTTTGTCAACAAAGCGGATTCCATTCACAAACAGGAATGGAATGTGTCATTCCGATAGATTACATTTGTGGATGGAGTATGTGTCACTTGATCTTCTTCAATGCTCATATGAGGGGATTCTCCAGAATGATTGGATTACAACCACTCCAGGCCTTATCTTGACTGTTTCAACAGAGACTAGTGGTGTAAAGATATGTGGGGTCCGTTTTGTTTACAAAGATGTTAGTTTGGAAGAAACGAGTAGTGTGGATAGTTGTGTTATGAAGAAAGAATCAAAGTTTTTAAGATGTTTTAAAGAGATGGAATTTGATGGTGTAACTTACAGTTTGCAGCCTGGAGTAAAATATGTCAGTGATGGAGATGCAACATTTGATAGGTTGTCATGGAATGAGAAGCATGAATGTTATAGATCAGGTAGATCATTGATCAAAGTAGGAATGAGTATTCTTGATTAAAATTATGAAGGGGGTAAGGTGGAAGTAACCTACTTCCCTTTTATTAACGTCAAATTCGCCTTTACATAACTTGCTACTCTTTTTTTATACGCAACTCAAACAAGAAACTAACTTAAATGGTGTGGCTTTCGGTCTCCCAACTAAATAACTGGTCATTTATGTTGAATTATCCTATATTTATACGATAAAGTTTTATAAATGGCGAGATATGTTAGAGTCTTCTATCTCTCTATAAGGACTCTTTTGGAGAGATAATTTTGGACTCTACATATATCTTTTATGTCTTACGGTATATGTTAGTATTCGTGTGATTTGATCAAGAACTTAGGTTGGGATCTTGATGGAGGCATTAAACCATTGACGTATCCATAAAATTACAAATAATACAATTACGAGGCTTAATAACTAATTAGAATGAAGTAAATATTGTCAACTACATATTGATTGATAAAGTGAGAGTCAATCTCAATATGCCTCATAAGCTCATGGAATACATCATTGTGAGCAATATAAATAACATAGTGATATAGGAAGAGCCGGAAGAACCCCATGTCGACTCAAAGCCAATGAATCCAAACGAATTATAGAATTGTATCAACTAGAGCAAGCTATTCAGCTTCAATACTCAAGCCACTTGTAAGAGATTGTTTCTCACTTCTCCGGGATATAAGGGAACCCCCCAAAAGAAACAATTGCCAATGGTAGATCTTTTAGGGTTTAGGCTTTAGGTCATCATCCAAATCCAAGTCTATATGGAAGAAGGAGAGATGAGTTAGACTAAAAATGAAGCCCGTGGAACATAGAAACCTTGATGTAATGAAAAATCCTGAGGATTCAGAGCAAGGAGCGGCCATAACCAGCCAACCGTGTGAATGACATATGTAAGGTCAGGGTGTGATTATGAGATAAAGCAGTTAACTAACTAACTGTGACATAAAGTAGTTAACTAATTAACTGATGGTAATTAGTAGGATCATTAAGATTGCTTAAATAGTTCTATACATATTTTGCTTGGCATAAATAGACCTTGGAAAAATTAGAGAGAACTTAAGTGTGAGAAAATAATGCAGTTTCCTAGGTTTTTCATTTAAAAAAATAAAATAAAAGTTGAGTGACTCAAGGCTTGTAATAAATGCATTGTCGCTTTCAATAATAATTATATCATCCATATAAAATTATGCATTGCTCCATAATTTCATTTAAGGAGATAAATGAAAAAAAAATGGGAGGATTGAGAAAAGAACATTGCTCCTTAGTTTATTTATTAGTAAAGAGCCGAGAATTGTATATTGTATTGATCAAACGTATTAGGGTTACATTGACATCTATATATAATACTAACAATTACATATTACTACCCTCTAGTCTATATTATTGTAATTATGTCTAATACGCCCCTACAAGCTAAGGACGGGGAACAACCTGCAACTTGGATAAAAGAGATACAAATCTTGGAGTTGGCAGCGACTTTGTGAAAATATCAGCTATTTGATCATGCGTTGATATGTGTTGAACTCATAGTTCTCCTTTAGTAACATTTTCTCTAACAAAGTGAAAATCAACCTCCACCTATTTCATATGAGCATGAAAGACTAGATTAGCAGAAACATAGGTTGCGCCAAGATTGTCACACCACAAGACGGGAGCCGAGGGGCTATTAACACTAGGTTCACGAAGAAGATCTTGAAGCTAGGTAAGCTAAGCAACTGTGTTAGCAAGGGCTTTGTATTCAGATTATGTGGAAGATATAGAAACAATATGTTGTTTTCGTGCGGTCCAAGAGACTAGGTTGGAACCAAGATATATAACAAATCCCCCGTGGATCGACGGTCATCTGGGTCACCATACCAGATACTAAAGCAGTCAGATTGCCAGTTCCTTGCCAGTGAGAGTCAGTAAAAGCCTATAATTGGGTATTGGAGGTTTGGAAAATTAAAATGTCATAAGCAACAGTGCCATGAAGATAGCGAAGAATGCACTTAACCGGGGACTAATGATTATCGGTTGGAGCATGCATGAACGAACACATTTTGTTTACCGTAATTGTGATATCAGGCCTGGAAAATGTAACATATTGAAGGGCTCTGATGACCTGGTGATACCATACATGGTCAGAGTAGATAGGGTTCTCATTAGTCGCCAAGGGAATGGAGGTAGTCATCGGAGATGGAGTTGGTTTTCACTCTAACATGCCAGCTTTTGTAGTAGTTCCAAAATGTATTTTCGTTGAGAGAGGATGATGTCAGAACCCCTGGGAACAATTTCAATGCCCAAAAAATATGAGAGATTGCTGAGATCTTTAACAGAAAATGTGGCACTAAGCTATGTAATAATTTTGTTGATGACAACATTTTTGTTACCCGTGATGATGATATCATCAACATAAACTAACATGTAAATAATGATGCCGGTGTGGGAGTAAATGAACAAAGACGGATCGGTGTTGGAGCCTTTGAATCCGAGAAGGTCAAGAGCTTGTGTAAGTCGTTGAAACCAAGCTCTAGAAGCTTGCTTAAGACCATATATCGATTTGTGAAGCAGACATACATGGTTCAGATGCTTTGGGTCAATGAAGCCTGGCGGATGCTTCATGTACACAGTTTCAGTGAGTGTGCCATGCAGGAAGGTACTCTGAACATCAAGATGTCGAAGGGACCATTTTTAGGTAATGACAAGAGAGATTACCACTTGAATGGTTATAGATTTGACCACATGGCTAAAAATCTCATGATAATCTATGCCTAGTTGTTGGCGAAAACCTTTTGCAACAAATCTTGTTTTGTAGCGAGTAACAACTCCATCCTTGTCCGCTTTAACCTGTAAAACCACCTGCAATAAATAATGTTAATATTGGGTACTGGAGGTACCAGTGACCAAGTGCCATTTTTTTGTAATGTGGAGTACTCGTCTTCCATGGCTTTGCGCCATTCAGGATATTTATTGGCAACAGAGAAGGATGTCGGTTTAGTAATGGAGGTGGTGGTGTGATGAGCACTCGGTCGAAATGGAACCTTTTGTTTTGGGTTTTGGCGAAGGTGGGAGGAACGAGTACAAGGTGTAAGTGCTGATATAGGTTTAGGTATGGGTGTAGGTGATGGTGAGGGTGAAAGTGGTGACAGTTGGGAGATAGGGATCATGGATGGATGAGGTGAACTCGAGGATTGGGTGTCGGGTGAGTAAGGTTTAATATGATTCTTCGCACGAGGCAAATAAGATTCATCAAAGCGTACATGACGAGCTATATAAATCCGATAGGAATATAATTCAAGGCATCTGTAGCCATGATGAAATGGGCTATATCCAAGAAAGAGACAGGGAGTAGAGCGAAAATTCATTTTGTGAGGATTATAGGGTCGTAGGTAAGGAAAGCACAAACAATCGAAGACTCTAAGGAACGAGTAATCAGGTGGGCGTTTAAAAACATGTTGGAATGGAGACTCATTGTGGGAGGTGCGAGAAGGCATCCAATTGATGAGGTAAACATTTGTTTCAAAGGAAAAATGCCAAAAATGTTGAGGAGTGTTGGATCGTGCCACTAATGTAAGACTTGTCTCGACAACATGTCGGTGTCGTCGCTCAACAAAGCCATTTTGAGCACTAGTATGGGGGCGTGATCGTTGATGAACAATGTCGAGTGATGTAAGGAAAGAAGAGGTGTTGCAAAATTCACCACCCCAATCAGTTTGAACTTTCTTTAATTTTGTAGAAAATCGTCGTTTAACTGTGGTGACAAAGGTTTTGAAAAGATTGTAAACATTAGATTTTTGAGACATTGGAAAGAGCCAAATATATCTAGTATGATGATCAACACACAATAAAAAGTAATGATGGCCATCTAATGAAAGAACAGGAGCGTGACCCCAAACATCACAATAAACAAGATCTAATATATTATTACTTCGAAAAGAAGAGACATGTAAAGATAGTTTTGATGATTTGCCTAGTTGACATGAAGAACATAAACTTTGTAAAGTTTTATTTGTAATAGGTTGCGAAAAACTAGAAAGCATATATTGAAAGAGATGTTGGTGTGGATGTGCAAGTTGTCTATGCCAAGTTGTGGAAGATGTACGAGTTGTAGAGAAAACTTAGTAAGGAGTGGATCGAAGTTGTGGCAGACGAAGGGAATAGAGACCTTGATTACTGGGGCCCGTGATAAGTATAGTGCGTGCAAGCTAGTCCTTAACAACAAACAAGTAGAGTGAAATTCAAAGAAGCCATTATTGTCAATGCAAAATTGTTGGACAGAAAGTGGATGTTTTGTGATGTTGGGTACATGATGAATTTTTGAGAGATGAAACGTTTTATTTAGTGAGTGAAAGCGAGATGAACCAATAGGAAGAATAGGGAGTCCCTTACCATCACTGACATTAAGGTTGTCAAGGCTATTATATGCACGATTGTCATCCATTCTTGCTAGATCCAACATGACATGGCTGTTGGCACCGATGTCGGGATACCAAGTGGTTGTTGTGGATGGTATGGAGGCGGAGCTGTCAACAAAGTTGGTTGTGGGCCTATTGCAGATTGTGGAGGGATCACGGTTAGGGCATTGAGATGGTTAGTGACCAATACCACAATGGTTTCATGTGCGAAAAACAATATTCTGGTTGGAGGCCCAGCTAAAGGAGCGAGTACTATCACCACGATTGTTGTTACTACAACTGTTGTTGTTGCTATGGTAAGAGCCATGTCGCCCTCGGTTGTTTCCACGGTTGTAGGTGGGGGCTGTCGAGAATCATATAAAGCTTGCGATGTGGCTGGTAGTGTGCTTGAGGGCGAGATTGGTTGAAGTTGGAGACCAAGAGCAGAAGCTATCGATCCTAGATGAGCAGTGAGAGAAGCCATCAAATCATTGGTGTGTTTGGTGGGTTCATGAGTGGCGTGAAAGGCTTGAATAGAAGGCTGCCAGGATTTTGCAATCATAAAGTCATGATCACTTAACAATGCATGAAGTTCAGCGAAGGTGGTGGGACATTGGTGGGCGGTGATGGTGGGCTTGAGACCATTGTATTCATCTCGAAGACCAGAAACAGCAAGCATGACAAGGTCTTTATCCTTGACTGGTTCACCAATGACAGCTAGGGCATCAACATATTCT